CTAGACTTTGAGGACGTGACCGAGTTTCTGGAGGAGGTCGTAGAAGCCTTAACGATGGACGAGGAGGTGCGGACGTTCGGGGAGGTCATGGTCCCGGTGTTTGATATCCTCTCGGGCAGGGTTAAGGACCTGGAGCTCTGCCAGATCCTGCTGTACACACACCTCGACGTGCTCCTCTACTTCACAAAGCAGAAGGACATAGCGAAGGTGGGTGCCTCGGCCCGATCGGGAGCTCCTGGCGGGTGCTGTGTGCAGGGGCGCGTTTACAGCACCCGGTCTGAGGTCCAGCCGGCAGCGCGGCACCGCCTCGTGGGCACCCGCGCACCCCCTTCCTCCTTCCCAATACCCTGCCCCAGACCCGTAAGCGCGGGCTGTTTTTTATTTACTGGGATTTCATACAGCTGTCGGCGCGTCCCACTATGCTCCCCAGGTTTTTGCAGGCTACATCCAGCCCAAGGACCCCGGCAACGGGCAGATGTACCAGAAGACTTTGCTGGGCGCCATTTTAAACATCTCCTGCTTGTTAAAGACCCCCGGCGTGGTGGAGAACCACGGCTACTTCCTGAATCCAGCCCGATCCAGCCCGCAAGAGATCAAAGTGCAGGAATCCAACATCCACCAGGTGGGCTGTGCCGCTTCCCCTTGCGTTGTGGTGGCCTCCGAGGGTCGAAGAGCCGAGGCCCGGGCTCGGGTTCCGCCACTGGCTCTGGCCGGTGACGAAGCAAGTCACAAAACCGTTTTGGGTTCTGCAGCTGAGGCGCGCCAACGGTTTTGCCCGCTTGCCTGGGCGGTTGTAACCCAAGTCTCCGTGTCGAGCGAGCCCTGGATTATCGAAGCGGTTGTCTGAGCGCTGGGGAGGGGGCAGGGTGGCGCTCGTGGGACGGGCAGCGGCACCGTAACTGGAGGCGCTACGCGGCACCGGTCTGCCTTGGGCGGTGCCGTCACCGGGGAATAGTTTCAGCGCCTGCCCTGCGGTTGAGACACCAGCTGACCCCCCGGCTGGGAAAGTGAGAGGCGACGTTCCCTCTCTGTCACGATGAAAGTAAACAGCTTCCTTCCTCGGGGGAGCGGTGCTAGGAGGGCTGTCAGGAATGTTCCAGAAGGAAGGAAGCGTCAGCACGCAGGGTATAAGCGCGGGGGTGAAGACAGGCACAGAGGTGGCCTCGGAGAGGGGCTTTCCCCCTCACGCATGCTTTCAGGGTCGTTGGTGCTGCCAAAAGCCTGTCGAGAATTTGGGGTGTACTCCCCGCGGACACAGCTTGCTCTCGACTGTGCTTTTTGAGTCCGTCCCTGATTGATTGTTTTTGGCTGCTGGTCCCGGGATTTGACCCGCTTGTAAGGCGCTGGGTGGTCGCTAGAGGCCTCCTGGCCACGACCGACCGTGGAAGCCCTGCCCTTGGGAGCGGGATGCCGTCTGGAGCTGGGGGGGGGCTCCGGGAGCGTCGATGACAGGAGAGGCAAGGGAGGGACGCAGCCAACGGCACCCTCAGCCCCGCCCTGTTCCCCCTAACAGTTCATGGCCCAGTTCCACGAGAAGATCTACCAGACGCTGAAGAACCTGCTGCAGTTGTCTCCAGAGACGAAGCACAGGATTCTCTCCTGGCTGGGAAACTGCCTCCACGCGAACGCGGGCCGCACCAAAATCTGGGCTAACCAGATGCCGGAGATCTTCTTCCAGATGTACGCCTCGGATGCCTTCTTCCTCAACCTGGGAGCCGCCCTCCTGAGGCTGTGCCAGCCCTTCTGCAAGCCCAAATCTCCGAGGCTGCTAACCTTCAACCCTACCTACTGTGCCCTGAAGGAGCTGAACGAGGAGGAGAGGAGGAGTAAGAACGTACACATGAAAGGTACGCCCGAACCTCGGGGAGCCAGGGGATGAGAAAGGGGACCTCCGCAGGTCCTCGCCTCTCCCAGCAGCGCGCCCTCAACGCCCGCGTCCCAGTGCAGGGAGAGGAGCGAGGGGAGAGCCGAGCACAAGTAGCGCCGCCAGCAGCCGTTTTTGGAGTCTTTAGCAGGGGCTCCCTCGAGCCCTCTCCGCCCCAGCGCTGACCTGACGCAGAGGCACTTTTCCTTCCAGGGCTGGAGAAAGAAACGTGCTTGATACCCGCGCTGAGCGAGCGAGAGCCGGAGTTTGCCAGCAGCTACAACCTGGTGACGGAGAACCTGGTGCTCACGCAGTACACCCTTCACTTGGGGTTTCACAGGTAACTGCGCTCGGTCGCCCCCGGGGCTGCTCTCCGCCCGTGCGCGGCCACGTGAACGGTTTGCCAGTGCTCGGGAAACAGAGCCCGAGCACCTTTCGCCACCCGCCTCGGCTGATGCTTGAGCCTCAGGCTGAGGGATTTCAGAAAGGAGTTTGTCCGCTGTTCGCAGTCACCGCGAGCGGCCTTGGGGCCTCCGTGGTGTTTACAGAGCCACAACAGGCGAGTGCGGGGTGCCCGTGGGTCGCTCGGTTCCTCCCTTTCCTTGGGGGAACGGGCCGCTGGCGTCTCGCTTCTCCACTAGAAAGCATCTCGGTGGCAGAGCACCTGCCCGCCCTGAGCTCCCTGAACCGCCCTGGTAAAGGGGATCGTACGCGAGGCAGAAACACGAGGTGGCCACCCATTCCCAGGAGAGGGCCTTCTGGACAGCAGAACGCCCTGTTTTTCTGTGCTTCCCTCTGCAAATCGTTGCCTGGAGACCGTGAGGTCACGGCTGATCCGTGCGCCGTCCCCTTCTGGTTGATTCTCTAAATATAGAAATCGATAAAAAAAAGTTACACAGGCGGCTCGTTGCTGGGAAACTGAAAACGTCACCTTGCAGGCAGCCCTCGGGCTGGCCGGATCCCTGACCGTGGTAACCCGGGGGGGCCCACAGCTGTGCCGGCTCGCCATCCGTGCCCCGGCGGG